AGACGTGTGCTCTTCCGATCTCCCCAAAACCCCAAAACCCCAAAACCCCATAGAAAGTAGAATGAACATTTGAATTGAAATAAAATATTTAAAATATAATAAAGAGAAAAAATAAGTGTAGGTGAAATGGCTGAATAAGAAGAAAAATTAGTTCTAAAACCAGAAGTCATCAAGAAATATCTTACTACTTTTGACTACACTCCAGACAGAGAGTCCATGTAGTTCTTACATTTGATCCTCGCTAACAAACGTATAGAAGCTCTTAACAACTCAATTCTTGAAGCAAAGCATGTAACATTCCTTGATCTACAAAATAACAACATTGTCGATGTCAACATAGTGTCCCAACTCACTGGACTGGTAAAACTCAACCTAGCTAAAAATAAAATAAAGAGCATCAATCTCTTCACTAATGAAGAAAATTTTACTAGTCTCAAATGGTTAGACATCTCAAATAATAAATACACTGAATTGGTTGGTATCAAGTGTCCTAAGCTAGAGTATCTTGACATAAGTTATAACCGCCTTGAGAAGGTTAGTGAAGGATGGACTGGCCATGGAAATATCAGGATATTGAAAAGTATTGATAATAAATTTAAGAACCTTCAAACATTTAAGGAAATGGGCAAGCTTGAGGAGCTATACCTTGAAAGTAATGTTATTGCTTCATTAACTGGCTATGAGAACCTTCCCAGTTTAAGGAAACTTCACTTAAGAAAGAATAAAATTGAAAAGATTGAGGACGAACTTCCTCCTCTTGACAGTCTTCAATATCTTAACTTGAGAAGCAACAAAGTACCAAATCTTGAACATTTAGCGAAGCTGTTTGTTTACCCTCAACTTAGAGATATTAATGTGCTAAGCTGTCCAATTGAAAGAAATGCCTCAAGTCTAAATCTCCTCATTGCAGAGGTTTTAATTCTCAATCCCAAAATCAAAAGATTCTGTAAGACAGAGATAACTGACTAGAATAAATTAGAGGCAGTATATCTAGCAAAATTCAGATGGACCAAAGAGCAAGAAGCAAAGAAAGCTGAAGAAGAGAAGAAAAGACTTGAAGGAGAACAAGCCGAAGATAATTGATTTAAGATGCTTGCAAATTTTATATTTAAATCATTAAATTTCATCTAAAATTATATTCATAAATGTTAAATAGTTGGGGGTTTTGGGGTTTTGGGGTTTTGGGG